GAGACAAACTGACGCAGAAAAACCACATCTGAGCGAAATTTCGCCTCAGCCAACCCGCAGACGACACACCCTCGTCCGTTGCTAGGCACCGCCATTTTCCCGCGCTTTGTTCCCGCCATTTTTGATAAAACAGGATCAAACATGAATTCTGTCATGACGCCAGGGATCAAATTACAGACAGGAGGAAACCGGAGCAGTCAGTAAACAGTAGGGATAATTTATCACACGTGGATCGAGTTGGTCATGTTCTTGTTGTTTGCGTAGTACAGAAGGAGGGCCTGCAAGCCCTTTTTCTTAAGGCGTAATCAGGCCGTTTTAGACTTCGTAATTCGTAGGCAGCCTCCGCAAAAATCAACGTAATTCGTAATTGGACATTAGCCGCAAATCGTAAAGTCGTAATCAGCTCTGAGACTTACGAAATTCGTAATAGGCGTAATAGGAAAATTTTGCGTAATTAGTAATCACTACCCCCCCCCCCTGCAGGCCCTCTAGAAGGCATCAGGCCAACTCAAGGGATATTCAACAGTATTTCTACTAAAGCTGCTCAATTAAAGACACCCTCTCAAGTATAGTTACACACTTCAAAAGCTTGTTTACATGTCGGTTCTTAGTCATTTTCATGTAGGACATGTTTTTGTTGTTTGCGTTGCACAGAAGGCGTCAGATAAGGGCAGGGGATATTTAACTAAAGCCTTTTGATTCAAGACATCCTCCCAAAGCATAGCTTGATGAGTTACGCACTTGAAAAGCTTGTTTGCGAGTCCATTTTTACTCATTTTCAAGCTGGACAGGTTGGACAGTGTCCTCTGTGTTCGCCTAGCACAGAAGGCGTCAGACTAATGTACGGGATTTTCTACTAAAGCCCTTCAACTAGTTAAAGACGCACCCGCCCTCTAAAACATAGCTTGATGATGAGTTACACACTTCAAAAGCTTGTTGTCATTGTTTTTGGTCCTTTTCTTCGCATTTCAGTTATCTATTCAAAAGTTATTTGCATCGATAAGTGAACAAGTTCTGGTATTCAGGTATTCCCGTGTTTCCTTTGAAAATAAACAGTAACCCTGCGTCGGACGTGTTAGTAAACACACGCACGGACCTCAAAATAAACACACGTACGGACCTCATAGTAAACACACGTACGGACCTAACAGCAAACACACCTACGGACCTGGTAGTAAACACACAGCCCACGTGCCAACCCAAAACTTCCGCATAAACACCCCCGTCACCATGGCTATACAGTATACTACCCTAACCGCCAGGTATGCGCGGCAGGTAACGGCTGAGCTGACGTGACGCCAGGTGTGTCCAGGTATGTGCGGCACGCCGTGTGATCATAACGTCACACCTGGCGTACTCACTCAGGTGTGTTTGCCGAACTTTTGTGCGACACAAAAATCTCAGCTCTAATCGCTTCTTGAGGTTTGCTCTTTACCCTGTGGGTAAAGTTAAACTGTTACAGAATCGCCAAATACGGTAACGGTCTGTAGCTGTGCGTAATGCGGTACTGAACATTTTTGTTTCTATTGTTCACACAGTAAAACATAGTACAACACCAAGTTGTAGCGCACTCAAGTATCTAAGAGTTATTTTAACGCTGGAGAACAATTTGACTGACAGTCTAGTCACTAGCCACTACCAGGCTTCGGGACGCGGCTTGAAAGAGTAGAAATTGGCCAAATAGAGAGAAAACAGTTTGCGGCAAATTGTAGAGAGATAACATGCCAGGGGAATTGGTCTACTAGAGAGTACAGTTTGCCACAATCCAAGTCCCCTGGCATGCTATCTCTCGTTTGGCCAATTTCTACTCTCTTCAGCCGCCTCCCGAAGCCTGGTAGAGGCTATGGTCAGAAGACTTTTATTTGACGACAATCACAGTTATTCACATAGAATAACATTCTACTATTCCACTGAAAGCATTCAAAGTGACCCAGACGACCCTTTATGTGTACATACTAGTAATGCGGTATTGAACATCCTTCTATCCTACGACGGAAAACATTCCAAGTAACCCACACGACCCTGTAGCGGTACGTGTGGTACAGAGCACTTTGGCAATCTAGTCAGACGACATTCTAGTCTAGTCACTCACATATAATAACATCCTACTATCCCACTACAAACATGAAACTCAAAATCACTACAATCCAAACGGCGGACGGACCATATAACTTCTGAATCAGCTGACTTGCGTCATATACGTGACGTTTGCATGATTGACAGCTCCTGCAGACGATATTTTATGGCACCATTCCCGCCATTTCCGTTCCCATTATGAGCCGGTCTGTCATAGTGCAAATTTACAGATTCCCGCCCTTCCGTCAGACCACTTTGATTGACAGACGACTTTTTTTCCTTACCGAACGGTTTCTCAGTAGGTCATGACGATTATTTGACTAAAAAGACGCACATATTTTACATGGGTGACATATCAAAAGTCTCTTTCCCGCTCAATTTCTGAGCTGAAATCTGTACCTATGAAAATCCTCCCGCAGACGATTTTTTATGACATTATTCCCGCCATTTCCGTCCCTGATACGAGCTTTTCTGTCACAGAGCAAATTTACAGACAAAAACATGTTGGACGTTTTCCCGCCCTTCCGTCAGACGACTTTGATGGACAGCATCGTCAGACGACTTTTTCCTCACACTACAGCTTTCCCGCCCTTCCGTCAGACCACTTTGATTGACAGAATTGGCAGACGACTTTTTTTCACGGAACGATTTCTCAGTAGGTCATGACGATTATTTGTCTAAAAAGACGCACGTATTTTGAATGGGTGACATAATAAAAGTCTCTTTCCCGCTCAGTTTCTGAGCTGAAATCTGTACCTACGAAAATCCTCCCGCAGACGATTTTTTATGACATTATTCCCGCCATTTCCGTCCCCGATACGAGCTGTTCTGTGACAGAGCAAATTTACAGACTGAGACATGTTGGACGCTTTTCCCGCCCTTCCGTCAGACGACTTTGACGGACAGCATTGGCAGACGACTTTGTCCTCACACTACAGTTTTTCCGCCCTTACGTCAGATGATGGACAGCATCGTCAGACGACTTTTTCCTCACAGAACGGTTTCTCAGTAGGATTGTTTGACTAAAAAGACCCACGTATTTTACATGGGTGATATATTCAAAGTCTCTTTCCCGCTCAATTTCTGAGCTGAAATCTGTACCTATGAAAATCCTCTCGCAGACGATTTCTTATGAAATTATATTCCCGCCATTTCCGTCCCCGATATGAGCTGTTCTTTCATGGAACAAATTTACAGACAAAAACATGTTGGACGTTTTCCCGCCCTTCCGTCAGACCACTTTGATTGACAAAAATGGCAGACGACTTTTTCCTCACACTACAGCTTTCCCACCCTTCCGTCAGATAATGGACAGCATCGTCAGACGACTTTTTCCTCACATAACGGTTTCTCAGTAGGTCATGACGATTATTTGGTTAAAAAGACGCACACAGATTTCACACAGGCGATAAATTTTCTCTTTCCCGCCCAATTTCTGAAATTTGCAATTCTGAAAATCCCCGGACGCAATGAAAACCGCATTATCGTCACATGATTTGTTGACAAAACACTCCACGTGCTTAAAAGGCTCCAAACTAAACCTCTTATATGTGACTAGGCATAAAACTATTAAATAGCTCGCGAAATCTGCCATGTTTATACGTATATGTTATCCAAACCGCATGTTTGCTTTTATGGAATGATATCGCATATGATTTGCCCCTACAATTTATTAGATATTCCAAAAGTTTACATGTGAAATTTTGTTGGTGGGTCGGGAAAGTCCGGGTTTCTGATTGAGTTCAGTCATGGTGAGAGTTTCAGCTAAGTTCCTATGGGTGCGGTCAATGACCTTTTGTGGAATGGCGGGAAAATTTCTTTCTAGTCAGAACTGAGAAGATTATTGCAGTCGGAAGGGCTAAAAGAAAAATGAGAAAGGAATAAAGAAAGGGTTTTTCATTCAGCTTTACTAAGTAAGGCTTAAATGGTTATATGCTTATAATCTTTGTTGTTATTACTACTAACGAGTTGTATTTTGTACAAGAGATAATTCTTGTTTATAACAAAACGGAGTGTTGAGTCGGCATCTATCAGATAATGATCAGGTTTTGACACCATTTCAGGACACCGGAAGTACATACCTGACATTCCGTGGTCAGCAGACTATAAATATCTGCAGATCAGATCTAAAAACTTCCGGTTCGGTTTGTTTACTTCCGGTGCAGGTGTTCATATAGTATGTCCCAAATATACTGATATACGCAATTCACTATACACTAGACTATCAGATTCTATTCCAGCATTATAATTACCTCAAGGAACTTAAAAAGCAAGTTTCAATACATAATGACTTGTGACAACCCCTACATGCTATACATGATATATGTATGCTGCATGATATACTAGTATATAAAAGACTGTATTGATATTAGAAACTGCTCCAATTTTTAAACTTCATATCTTTTTTTCTTACTCCAACATTTCATGACTAGACGTGGTGACAGCACACTCAAGTTACATAAACTTATTTTATGCCGTCACCAACGCAGAGGACGAATACAGGACAAGACAATACTCATTTTCACCCGAGTTAAGTGAGAAAAGTCGTGTAAAGTGACTTTCCCAAGGGCACAAGATTGGAATATTTATATTTTCATACCTATCCAATACTAACCACCCTATAAAAAGGTGACGGCGGTAACTAGGCAACAGGACAACGCCCACACCGTCTGGTCAGTGTGTCTTGTGCTGACGTCGCTTCCGGTACCAAGGTAAACCCCCAACATGAGTGATCTAGCCAGGATAAAATTACGCAAGGTGTCCATTATCGCGGGGTGGATCGACCGACAGGCTACACCGGATGTATGAGGAGCCCGCTTATCGTGGTGGTATCAGTTTGCACGCTACACCGGAAGCGCCGGTCGGGTCTCGTTAAAAACTCGCGAGACCAGTCATCGCGAGACAGTCCAGAACTCGACATCACCCAGACCAGACCTACAGGACACAGGACCAGCTAGCGCCAGGGTACTTAACTTCACTACAACACCGTCAGTTCGTCAGTTCGTCCGTTCCCCCGGCTGTGACGTCATGAAGAGGTCGCGACCCCTGATGGAGGGGTGAGTAGATTACCCGGCATCCCCCGGGACTACCGTAACCATGGCGTTATATTATGGGTTGGCTACGACCTCTGACCTACATATTTTTACCTATCGTTTGCGATAAAATCTTTTTGTTCCTTTCGAAGTTTTGTTGGAATGATTTTGGGGTTAGGCAGGTGACACCTGTTGTTAGACCTGTAGGTACACCTGTTACCTGGTTGCCATGACGACGCAGGTGACCGTCAGGTGGTTGTCCTGTTTCATGGTTGGATGATTATTCTAGTGTAGCCTTCCAAGAATGGGCACTGCCATTCTAATTGACTGTGCATATAGTCCTTAAAAGGACTGTGGTTGTGATGCAAGTTTTCTGTTCTTACTTTGGGGCCTCCAAATTAACGTGCTATAACATAGCAAATCTATAGACTAGACACAGACATTTACTGTTTATGCGCACCACAATTTACATAATTTTATAGCTTGTATGGCTAGCACAGGCCGAGCCCTTGTTTATATATACTGTGTACATTTTGGCGGCCGAGACTTCCCACATTCCCGAATTCTACTCAGGGAAAACCCCGGAATGAGTCTGTTGTGTTGACAGTTATCATTCTGAGTGGGCAAAATCAGTCTGTAGAGCGTAATGCTCATGTCAAAACTGTGAGTCAAGATGGCGGGTTGTATCCAGAACCCTGCCTATTTCTATTCCACAATGGCTTAGGATTAGGCACGATTCTGGATAGTCTCTGCGTATCCAAGAATATAGATTTGGCCTAGGCACGATTCTGGATACGCGTGACTATCCAGAACTACATGTGTCTGAGTGTGATTCTAGATAAAGCACGCTGGTTCTGGATACATTTTTGTACAACAACAACAACAACAACAACATCGTCCTTGTCCGAACCCTGACTGGCCTGAGTCATTAGATGGCGAAAATCCTACATATCTTAAATGCTATGCCTGCCCTAGGATCAGGCACAGTATCCAAAACGTAGATTAGATCCAGGCACGGTTCTGGATACATTTTTGTGCAACAGCAACGTCCATGCGCTATGCCCGAACCCTGAGTCAAGATGGCGAGAACTTTGCCTAGCCTATGTACTTCTATGTTTGAATGGGTTAGGGTTAGGATCAGGCAAGGTTCTGGATACTAGTAGTTTCTGATTAAAGTAGATTTGCTCCAAGCCCTAGATAAATAACGGTTCTGGACACGTTTCTGTACAACAACGCCCGAACCGTGAGTCAAGCAGGCGAGTCTGTGGCCGTGTTTTGACTGACTCCATCCACAGACCGCAGACACCCTCCTGAGTCCTGACGGGACCGTGTGAGTAAAAACCGCCTCAGGCGGGACGGAAAACAGAACCAGCTGGCCGCAACCACAACACAAAACTACTATGTAGCCTCCACCAGGCCTTTGTTTCTACGTGAATACGGATTGTAGAATTCGGCAAAAAAAGAGTAAAATTGGCCAAGGGAGTCCGGCCGCGAAAGGTTGATTCTTTTCCTCCGAAGTCAAACCTACAAGGCGGCCAAATTAACTCTCCTGGCAATTATTCTCCTACTAGTTAGTCTGGTAGAGACTTCAAAAGTCCCCACAGGCGAGGGGATAGCAAAAATGTAACTAGACAGCCAACAGGTGAAAGGGTTACATCACTGGAGACCCGTGGTATGTGCAGGAAAACAAACTGGGCTGGTTGAAAAACACGGAGGACTGGCCGCCCTTTAAAGGAATAAGTTACAAACAACGTTTCTAATGGGTTGGGTGTTTAGTAGGTTTTATGCTCGTTCTTATTTTATTGCAACCACACCGGCAGTGTCAATAAGGAAAACACAATTCTTATATTCACCTCGGGAGTGAATATAAGATAAAAAGGGATGAAATAATTCTTATACTGGAGTGTCAATAACCACGGTCTTGTGTATACAACAGAGAAATCAGGCATGTGGGGTCAGTGACAGTGTTGTGTTGCTGGATATGAAGAAAATGGAGGGGGGGGGGGCAAGTACTTACTCAACTTGGCAGGTCATTTCGTGCCAAACACTCCCATATGAGAACTGTTAACGAAGTGAAGCACACAGACTCTTACCGGGATGTTCTCTTTATATCCTCTTTTTGTAGAAACTTACGCTATATAAAAAGGAACAGCGGAGTTGAGTCATCTTGTCCTGCTGCCTGTAATCCCTCCTTTGTACAAAACAACCCCGGTCTGACCTGCCAGATTACCGACTTGTTACAGTCTTTCTTTCGTAACACATATACACACGGGGCTAGTTATCTCCAAGCAGATACGCGGCGGGACGTATTGTTCCGAACAAACCCGGCCTGACCTGGACTGGTCTGTCCGGATTACCGACTTGCTACAGTCTTTCATTCGTTTATACACACACAGGAGTAGTTATCTCCAAGCAGATACGCGGCGGGACGTATTGTTCCGAACAAACCCGGCCTGACCTGGACTGGTCTGTCCGGATTACCGACTTGCTACAGTCTTTCATTCGTTTATACACACACAGGTGTAGTTATCTCCAAGCAGATACGCGGTGGGGCGTTCAGGCGTGATATTGCTACAAATCGGATACAAAAGTAACAACAGCAACACCAACAGCCACTGTAGCAAATTCCTAAATATGCGCCAGAGAACAGCCTTCGGCTTGGTACAAATTCGCGACACTCTGACCCGAAAGCCTCACGTAATGCCTACACTACTGCTAACTGCTATGGTCTCCCTCCCACTACCATGTGTGTACAGTCGTCTGTAGGTTTCATAAAGCATCTGATGTACGAATTGCTAGAACAAGTGAGTAAAGACCAAGATGGTGACGCAAACTCAGCTCACGGTACACGCAGCTGTGTGGAATAGGAGCGACCTCTAGCGCGCGAGCTGGCACTGCACCCTCTACGTGCCGTTTAAAAACGCGTACATTGCGCCGTATGTTATAACTTGTGTGTTTTGGACCTCGCAGTTTTGTGTACTACGATCTATTTAGATTCAGCTAGGGAAACATGGAACCTACCAGTCCCCCCAATTGCACAAACGAAATAAAAGTTGAGAATTTATGTACAAAGGTTAGGAGAGAGAGATATTGAAACTCTCGTCACTCCCCTAAGTCACGTAAACAAACGAAATAAAAGTGTAGAATTTATGTTGACCTGACTGGCTGCCAGCTACAATGTAGAGTGTAAGATGTAAGAGTTACGGTCCAACTCCGAGGAAACCGGACTGCACAAGCCCAGGCCGCTTTCTTGGGAACTCAAAAGCAGGAGGAGTTCAGCATTGGAAAATGCGTGTTGAGACAAGGTTCACCACTGGAATGGCAGTGCAGGAATGAAGGGGACTCAGCAATGGAAGTCGCTCGGCACTGGAAAACAAATGCTTAACTACATGACTGAGGCAGTTTTTTTACTATTGAATCAGTACTAGAATACGAGTGAGGAAAGTTTGCGATAGAACTGCCTACAGTCGGTACGATTGAGCCCGCGATCTCGCGTGAACGGGACCGTTTTCTCTGGGCTTGCAGCGGTTGTGTAGCGGTCAGCGGCTGTTCCGGGTCCAGGTGTTCTTGACCGGACATGTCCGCCGATGTGGGGACGCTGTAAGTTCAGGTTTAAGTTCGTACAGAATCCTAACTCCTGTGTCAAGGGTGTGATCAGTTTCTGCATCCCAGAACCTGTACTTACTTATACTTAATATATACGTGTTAAGGTCAAGTTTAGCGGCATTAGCAGGCGTAAGTGATAAGATGTTTGTGCTAATCATGTGTGCCGTTTTTCGTTTGTACAGTAGCCTCTACCAGGCTTCGGGAGGCGGCTGGAAAGAGTAGGAATATGCCAAATAGAGAGATAAACTGTTTAACATGCCGGGGGAGCTGGCCGCTAGAAAGAACAGTTTACCGCGTTTGAAAGATGACAAAAAGTACTCTCTAGCGAACCAACCCCCCTGGTATGCTATCTTTCTACTTTCCAACCACCTCCAAAAGCCTGGTAGAGGCTAACCTCAGACTACCCCGATGACCTTGACCTGTAATAACCCCTGTTCTCTCTGACCCCTGCAGGTTCCACACGCCCAACTCCTTCGACCCCTTCCAGCTGTTCGAGGTAAGTTGCCATGGCAACCGACTTTTACAAACACAAACATGAGTGTGTATGTTTAAAGTTAAAACTTCTGATCCAACACAAAAAGTTCTCTCACCTAGAGCTTTCGACCAGTCACTCTGGTCTTCCTCAGTAGACTGACCCAGTGAGGCTTGTCACGTGGCTTCTTTGAAGTGTGACGTCAACACTGGGTCAGGGGTATCTTGTAGATGATGTCGGCCCCCGTCGCGGTTCAATGAATGTGGTATGTGTGATGAGATTTGTACTTTCCTTCATTTTTGGTCAGTTGACTAGATGGTTAGTATACATGTATGACCAGGTATGTTCACTTATCAGTTGGTTGGTCGCTTGGCTAGTTGCTTAAGTAGCCCGTTGGTTACTTGGTTGGTTAGTTGCCTTGAATTGGTCGGTAGGTTGGTCGGTCGGTCGGTTGGTTGGTTAGTTTGTTTGTTTGTCGGTTGGTTGGTTGGTTAGACCATAGCCAAGGAGGTTTCCCTTCTTGCTAAGACGGCTTCATCACAATGTGAATTTCCAAAAACAATGTGATGTGTTGCTGAACTAATAGATCTTGGTGGAAAATGTTTTATATTATCTAAAGGCAGCTGACTTGTTGGTTAGTTAAGACTCTTCCTTCGCGTCCCGTGCGTCCAGACTATTATGGGATCTCAAGAAGGAAACAAAAACGTGGCACGAAGTCTGAAAACCGAAGTGATGAAAGCTCCTTGGATCACCCTAAAGGCCGACCGGATAATTAACCGCCCCCTCCCTCCCTCAGACAACTTTTCTCCCCAGTGTTAGTCCCGACGGTCCCGCCTTTCCTATTAAAGGAGGGAAACAAAAACACGTGGCACCAGAACAAAGTGGCGATGTACTGGTATGACCTAGCCTCTACCAGGCTTCGGGAGGCGGCTGGAAGGAGTAGAAATCGGCCAAATAGAGAGTTAACATGCCGGGGGAGTTGGTCCGCTGAGAGAACAGTCTTGTGGTGGAATAGTGAGGGGATTACTTTTATACCGTTTGACGGTAGCGACTCCGCACAGGCTTCGGGAGCAGCAAACTGTTCCCTACTGATTTCTACTGTTCCCAGCCGCCTCCCGAAGCCTGGTAGAGGCTATATCGCACCCCCTCCCCCAGACAGCTTCCCACCCCGGCGCTAATTCCCTCGCGGCCCGCCTCTCCCATTTTCCCGGCGTGTTTGTTTAGCAGCTCGCCGTCCGCATGCCGGCAGGGCCGACACGGATTGCCGGGAGATGGCAGGACAGTGAGGGGACGAGTTTGGTTTTCTTACTCCATGGTGAGGGGGGCGGCTGTTCCGCAAAACCGCACAGCTAGTGACGCAGACGGGAAGACGACTTCACTGCGCTTGGCTTGCGACGTTTCGTCATTGCAAGCTTCTAGCCTTGTACTAGAAACTGTTCTTCTGTGTTTAACGTCCTCAAAGAGTCGCGCAACAGGAGAGAGAGAGAAAAAAAGAGAAGAAGAGATGACAGCACGGCTAGCTTGAGTTAGCGTGTGGTCTGCAAAATCATGCGGAACTTCACTGCGCTTGGATTGAGACGTTTCGCCAACTTCTAGCCTTGAACTTAAGACCGTTCCACTGTGTTTAACTTTCTCTATTTAAAGAGTCGCGCAACTAGAGAGAGGGAGAGAAAGATAGAAGAGAGGACTACGCCAGCTCGGAGACGGCGTGTGGTCTGCATGTCTGTATGCACACGACGCGTCCCGACCGGCTTTTGTTCCAGTCTCCATTGTTCCCTGAGCTCGCCAATAGTGGCTGTGTGTGTACGGTACGGGGAGGGCCGGAGGCAAGCGGGGGGAGTTACCGGGCCGAGTCGGGCGGTTTCCTCGGGCGGGATCGCGTCTCGCCCCGTAAGCCATGGAGGACGCTACCCCTGACGAATTCTCGGACCCTCCGTACAAGGTACAGTTCCTTCTAACGTCTTAAACTCCCGACCAAGGCGTCTCCACCTTCCTTAAGGTTCCGTGAGAAGTCGTGCCTCGCGTCGTGCTAACCTTAGCGTGAACTGATTTAATTTCTGCGCCCTTGTGTAACAGTGTGTTGTTAGAAAACCCTGGAGACGGCAGGACCCTGTGTCGGTATGTGTATAACAGTCATCGTTCTGACATCTTTAACACCTCGGAACCGCTGTTGATATAAGAACTGTGCAGTTCGGGCTGGTGGTTTAGCGTTTGTTATAGTCACTGAGGACATTGCCCTCGAATCTACGGCAACCCGGAAAGGACAGTCAGTCGTAACATCAGATTCACCCATCCCTGCCTTATGTTCCCATGTTTCGATCGGTGTTCATCTGTTAAATCTGTGTTTGGGTTTCTGTTAGAAAGTTTCTTGTCATTTGGCTGACAATGTATGGATGTGATATTATGGTGTGAGTGGAGTAAATGTCTGGATGGCTAAATAAAAGCTCAGATGTTCTATTTAGTGATTTAGTGAACGGGTTATCTTTTGTTGCGTTGTGTTGCCAAAGCAACGTGTTAGTTTGTGTTGCCAAGTGGTGTCGCTTCTTACGTTGCCATAGTAACGTGTTATTAAGCGTTGCCTGGTGGAACACCGACTTCTTGTGTCGCCATAGTAACGTGTTATTTTGCGTCGTAGTAACGTTTTTTTCGATGCGTTGCCATAGTAACGTTATTTTTCGTTGCCATAGTAACGTGTTATTTTGCGTTTCCAGGTAAGACCCCAGTTTTTGCGTTGCCATAGTAACGGGTGATTTTACGTTTCCAGGTGGAACACCGGCCATGCCTGATGCTGCACGTGACCGTTTTAAGGGGCAGGAACATCACTAAGGGCTGGGCGGGCGACTTGGGTAAGTCTAACACGAAAACAAACAAACAAACAAACAAACAAACAAGCATACGTAGATGATAGAACGTAATTAAGAAGCAGTTGGTAATACGTGTGCTTCTTAATTACGTTCTTTCATCTATGTTTTTTGGTTGGTTGGTTTGTTACCCCCACGCTGCATTGTACATTTATGTAAGATCGTGGAGGTTATCCGTACCTTGCTTGATTGTTTATTATGTACATGTGCAATGACTTACATGGGACTTTGTTTATATGTGTGCTTCTCAGTCCACAGTGACTAAGCCTAGCCGCGGCACCAGGCTTGTTTACCTGTCAGCGGCAGCATATAAATGTTCCAGTCTGACATTTCACTGATAAACAGTGGAAACATCAGCCATAAATCAGCTGCAGGAGACCCTTACATAACAAACCTCCTTACATAAGGACGGCCGTTAATAATACATGAGGCCGACCTTGCTGACATTTGTAACAGGCAGGACATGATTTACTGATGTTTGAAAGACCCAGTTTTGGGCTGTTTCTCTCGTATGACTGTATAGATACACTCTATTGTCTTATCTATCACTGTCGTTGTATACATGAATATTATCCGTACCCCATGCCATGCTGACAGGCGGGTTGAAATCTCCTTGTTTTGACCCTGGCTGTTTTGATGAGGAGTTGTTGTTGTTGTCGTTTCCCGTGTTTTTGCGGAGTTAGCCCTGTTTTTCCTGGTCCCCTGTGTTTTCAGTTGACCCTGTTTTTCAACGTTTCCCCATGGTTTCCCACGTGTTTTGTGGCATCACCTCTGTTTTCCCCGGTACTCCCGTGTTTTGTGGCATTACCTCTGTTTTCCCCGTTTTCCCCCGTATTTACACGCGTAAACTGACCTATCACGACTCCGGTCAGCTCTAAACAAAGCTGCCGCCACCCCAACCTGAGTATTATATAAATCTGAGCGCTTCTTGTCCCATGGCTCTTCTTAGAAAGCGCAGTGCTCGATGGGACGATTCTAGCGCTTTGCATTTTGGGTAAGATGTGCGCGCGGTGCACCTTGGGTAAAAGTAAAGCGCTGTGCACCTTGGGTAAAAGTTAAGCGCTCTGCATGGTGGGAATATATTGTGAATACACAGGTTACAACATCACAAGTTTCTCTATTGAAGTACAGCTTCTGACGAAGTCGTTTTCACTTAAAACTTTGCTAAAGTCCAAATTCTTCTCCAATGTCAAGTTTGTTAGTAGTGTCTTAGAAGGATTCGAAGCAATCTCAGAAAAAAGGAAAATTTGTCTCTGTTCATTGTGTAACGTTACATGTAGAAATCTACCCCCTTACGACCCTGTGTAGGTTGGAACGTTCCTTTCAAAATCTCCAATAAAATCCGTTCAGCAAAGAATGTTAGAACCTCAAGGACACTTAGAGGTCACGTTAATGGGGCGTGAAAGGTCACCCAAAAGTCGCGGGTTTATCCAAACATTTTCCGCGGTTTACTGAGCGATAAATCTGCACTCTCAACAGTCAGTAGTTACGGACCGGAGACTTTACGGGTAGCAGTTAACGATGAGAATACTTTGAGCAGATGTTTAATGGCATCAAATGCATTATCAGGGCAGCAAAACTTATAATGTACATGTACAAACTTACAAAAATATTCTGAATGAGGCAATCTTAATGACTGACACATACCGTCCCACATTAGCACATTTGACTCAATATTTCATGCTGTGGGCTTTTAAAACTGCAGAAACAAGCCTCAAGATGCGTCTTTTATTTTCTGGGTGGTACCCTAAGAATCAGGTCAGGGCCCTTCCAGTGACCGTTTGCGGTCAGAATTTCGGGCATTTTGGCTCCAAGAATGTCCATACACATCGGGATAGTGTTGTTTCAACTCACTATGTAGATAAGTGACGTCTATAATATTGAGTTTGAAAAATCTGGTTTTCAAGCCCTAAAAACTGCACTGGCAGCCTCTAAACCAAACAGCTCGCCCAGGGTCACCAACCGTTACGATACAAATGAAACATCTTCGCATTTCCGGCTTTGCACATTTAGAATTCCTCTTCTATAGTGCAGCCCCTCCTTTAATCTCTTCTGCCAACACAGATGAACTTTCCTGCGGACCAGCCCCTGTTGTTTCGCCATCCATCTAACTATAGCGCAAAGGTACAATAAGGCTTCCTTAGCGAAGCAAAGCGAAGACAATGCAGCAAAGATTTTGGGCGATGTCCGGGGGTGGATCGGAGTATTTAGATGTAAACATGTCCTTAAAAGTTAAATAAACACGGAATTATGGAGTTAAGTAGTATTTACTGTGCATGCGTGGATTAATTGTTCAGAAGTGTTTGCTATGTTCGGGTTGTGACGTCAGCAACCTCGTGAGGCACGTCATAGGATAAAAACTGTCCGCTTGGGATGAACTGAAGTGGCACTTCATTAGCTGTGGATTTTGTGATGGAGATGGTCGAGTGAAGAAGGTGATTCCGCCGTGTGAAGTGTGGTTTAAGTGGAAACGAGAAACACTTCAATGACCATCAAAACGCTGAACTAAACCAGCTCAATGTAAAGTTTGCCTAAATGCTAATTTCATGAGTGGTTTGTTACTTTGTAGTTACGCCGCATGCAAAGTTGTAAAAATGCATGAAAATAGAAGGTAGTCTTGTTTTTTCCGTGTCAGGCATTTCTGGGGGTATTGGAGATGTTGCGACAACACTGAAAAAAAACCAAGCCAAACCTTTCCGTACTGCTCGCTACAAGACAGCCAACCCGTAACAATAACAGCCACTTCACACCTGCATTTCAAACGTAATACACACCTTAGATCTCTTAAGAAACATAAAGCACACACGCGCGTGACACCTGTGTTGGAATAACGCCCCCACACTCACGCCTGTAAAGAAATAACACATACTTTAAGCCTTTAAAGATAACGCGCACACAGTGCTGAAGCAACGCCCATCTCACGCCCCCAGTAGAAATAACACAGGCTTATAGTTTATAGCCCTCTACTCAGAGAGGAAAAAAACAAGAAGTCTACACAGAACTTACAAGAGTAAAATTAGGTGCAAATACGATCCCAATAACGTATATTTCTGTTTAGAATGATTAACGAAGCGCATAATATCATTATCAGTGCATTTCATGTTCATATCAACTCTATTCCTTCGTGGTGAAAATCAATTGCCGTGCACAGTTTAAAATTTTACAGGTTTGGTTCAAAAACAGTTTTCTCTGTTTGTCACGCAAACAGCAACATTCTGCAGATGTTTGGTTTTGTTGCGAAGAATTTCTCGGTTTGGCTTCTTTACAGAAAGTTGTTTTTCCTGCATTCTGTGACCGGTTGTGGCGGATTGGTTTTGTACAGGCGACTTGTTGTGATAGTCGTGGGTGGCGGAGGGACAATGGCGAGAGGTGTGGGTAAACAAGCGCAGCAGAATAGTCCCACAGAAAAACAGAGATAACAAAAACACGGACTTGTCGCAATGTGTAGCCTCTATCAGGCTTCGGGAGGCGGCTGGGAAGAGTAGAAATTGGTCAAATAGAGAGACAACATGCCAGGGGGAGTTGGTTCGCTAGAGAGTACAGTTTGCGGCACACGAAAGATGACAAACTGTACTCTCCAGCGGACCAAGTCCCCTGATTCAGATTGAAATTCAGCTTTATTGACACTGGCATGACATGTTCGATAAAATTCAAAACATGAATTGAGCCAACATTTACAATTATGACAATATTTAAAATACACAGAGCAGATAAAAACTACAACATTTTAAAATGCTGACATGTTATCTCTCTATTCGGCCAATTTCTACTCTTTCCAGCCGCCTCCCGAAGCCTGGTAGAGGCTTGCGATGAGACTCCCGAAGTTTGCAAGAGAGTATGCGGCACGCTCCTCAGATGCGCTCTGAGTTAGTGTAGGACTAAGAATAGACTGGAGTATATTTATTGACGAAGATCAATGAAGAGTATCTGTTTTTAGACGTCATGACGTCATACCCGGAACCGATGACGTCAGCAGCGGCGCGTTCCACGGCTGTGTTTTGTGAGAGGCGCATATTTCAGGAGAAAGTCGGAATGGCGGGAACAAAAGACCAGAGTAAACAGAGTGAGGTAAACGCGAGGAGCCAGTCCGCTGTGTAAGAACAACGTTTCCGGGCTGGATTTAGCCGCGACGGACAAAAATCTAGCCTCCACCAGGCCTTTCTACGGGAATACGGATCCTAGAATTCGGCAAAAAAAAAAAGTAAAATTGGCCAGGGGAGTCCGGCCGCGTGGATGTAGTTTCTTTCCTGTCAAACCTACAACCTGTAATCTTAACTTTCAAATAGCTCTGTTAGCATTTAATTTAACATTTTAATGTCTTGGGGTGGTGGGACTACGGTGCACAGATATGTCAACTTTGTATATTTAAATGTTAATTATACCTTTTTTGTTGTGTGCCGCTGTTAACATAAGTTGTTAACTTGAGTGCAGCGTCACACTGTCCTTGTTATGTTTTTATGTTTTGATGAATAAAAAAAACCTACAAGGCGCCCAAACTTCCCTGGTAAATATTCTCCTATAATATCTATAGCCAGCGTAGTTAGTCTGGTAGAGACTAACAAAAACGGATAAAAATATCAAACTTCGTGACGTCAGAAAGAAAGAGAGATATCTCGTGACGCGGAGGGCGTGTTTTAGTTTACCTAGCGTTGCCATGGCAACGGTTTATTTTTAAAACTAGCATGACCTCTCCACTTTTATAAGCCATGTAGTATTTAACTATACCACATGCATGTATATAACGTTTAGTGTGTCAAAAGGAGCTAAATCATAGTGACTCAATGCTCGATACACTTCTATACTACGGATAGTGTCCTATTCTTTGGGTGGGTTATTTTGGGATTTCGAACCCCCGTTGCCATAGTAACACAGTTCATACTGCTAAAAATAGCCCAGTGGCGTGCCTGCAGTCCGCCCGTGTGTTACGTCACGTCTTGTCCTCGCTAAGGACACGCCAAGGTTTCTGGAGCTTTCTTAAGATTATACTAGTCTTACCTCTCCTTTCACGTGTGGTATAGCACGACAAGATTCCTCGGCTTAGGAGTAAGAAAAAATATAAGAAGGGGTAGTGCGGCGTACTCGACTCGGAACCAAGAGGTCCCGGGTTCGAATCCTGACATGCCACAGATCTTGTGCCCTTGGGAAAGGCACTTTACACGACTTTCCTCACTTAACTCAAGTGAAAATTAGTATTGTCTTATTTGTCCTCTGCGTTGGTGGCGGCATGATATAACTTGAGTGTGCCGTCACCATGTCATGAAATGTTGGAATAAAAAAAAAAGAAGCCCACTCTGTCTTTTCTTAAGTAATAAGCTGCCTTGCTTAAACGCCTTGGAGAAAGACAGGGTCTTGGGAAGAAATGTCGTAAGACGTTATTTGAAGGTTCCAAGAAGTCTGGACGAAAAAAGGAGCTTCTCGGCTATTTTAGTCTTGGTTGAGAAGTTCAGGGTCAAGGGAGCGGTCAGATTTAGCCTCGGCGCCAAAAATAAACCCGGCTACAAAAGCGGGTCTGTCCACGGGGCGATCTGAACTGGCCTGGTGGGCAGCAGGACTATAACTCACACGGGCTCACACAGACTGGGGCTGTTGTAGGGTAGAATGGCCTCTACCAGGCTTCGGGAGGCGGCTGGAACGAGTAGAAATCGGCCAAATAGAGAGATAACATTGTAGGAGAGTTGGTCCGCTGGAGAGTACAGTTTGCCGCACCCTCTCTAGCGGACCAACTTCCTCGGTATGCCATCTCTCTATTTGGCCAATTTCTACGTACTCTTTCCAGCCGCCTCCCGAAGCCTGGTGGAGGCCC